TTGACTGTCAATTTGCACTCTTCCCTTTTGAAAGGTTTTCGAGGAAGGGGTTTTTGGCTTGCCCTGCAAAGTGTGGATTTGGCCCTCTAGGGAGGGGTTCGGGGCGGGGTAACAGGTAAGGAGGAAAGCTGCATTTCTTGTCAAACACGCCATCTGTCGTCGGCGGATTTCGTCCCTCATTTGCGGGACTCACCCAACATGTTGAGCAACACCGTTAAGGACTTCCCTGTTGTTGTCGTGGTGGGACCAACCAAAAGATGCTGCAAAGCAGGTGCTTCCCTGATTGTCGCGGTGGATTCACTTGTGAACACACCACCCCAGCATGTTAATAAAACGGTCAAGAGCTTCCCTGCTTGTTGCGGTCCTTTCGGTGCCGCCGGGTGATTTATTCTACTTTGCTTGAGGCTTGGCCTTTTTGTCACCTTACCTTTCGCCGAGCGCTCAGATGCTTTCTCCCATTTCTCAAATTGGGCATTTGGACTGCGCAAGGTTTGGCGTATCGCGCGGCAACATGAGTTGTGCCGCGATGTGGCTGACTGGGCAGAGGATGCTTGACAAGCGTGGCAACGTCCTCGTGAGTTTGTACGCCTGGGCAGGAGGGCGCAAAAGAGGCGATGCACGACGACGCGCCGGGCTCTCAAATTCCACGAGGTGTTTTTTTGCATGCGAGGGTGTCGACGAGTGCTGCATGGTTGGTCAAACAGTTAAGACAATCCTGATGCATCCTGATACCACTTGATGGTTGGAGATTCAAAGTCCAGAGTAGATTTGTCAGGGGTTCTGACTCCTGACTTCGAAGTGGCTAGACACAAAGCGTCCACATGCCATAATTGCTTTGAGGCTATATTCCGAGTCCGACGGGAGTTCTGGCGAATTTGACAGAGTGCATGGGGACAATGGTGCGCCGCCAGTTGCGTGCGTGAGTGTGCTGACAACATGCATTTATGCATCTCAACGCGTGCGATTGCAGTGCTGGTCTTTTAAAAGAGAGCTGATGCACCGGGTAACCAGTCCAGCATGCCAGTGTGATTAATCTGTGCAAAGTAGGAATCAAACAGGGCGAGCACCAAAACCAGCAGGTCTGCGGCACCAACAGCGCAGGGTTTGACAACAAAAGAGAATTTGAGCACCAGCTGAATCGAAGTAGTGTTATCCTAAGCTCCTCGCGGGATGGCCAGCGAAAGGAAACCAGTTTGCTTTGGCTGTAACAAACATTGTGACGCATCCCCTTTACATTGGTGGGATGTGATTCTGCGGGCGATCTTCGCACCCTTTGTGGCTTGACTTCCTACAAGCGGTCTGTTTGTTTGGAAGCTGGCATGGACCGCTGAGCGTGTGCCGCTCCCTTTCCAAAACAGAAGCTTACACGACAACGAATATTTGTCGAGGCCCCGAATATGTTTTGGCTGTTGCTGCTGAGCATCTTGGCATATGGCTTCTTGTCATCACGCATTGTGCTGTCCAGACGAGCTGCCGCCTGAGTGACGCAAGCAGGGACCTGCCACAGCACGCGAGAGAGCTTTGCTTCTCGATTTCACTTTCAACACTTGTTTTGCAAACCAGTTAGTAGTTGCAGACTGGCAGGTAAGAGCTCGCTCTTGGCCATAGGAACATTTGCCAACGCTCCGAAACGTGGAGCATAGTGCTTGTGGCATGCGGAATCTATTGCCAGGGAAAAAGAGATAGCGCACAACTTGTTTTTTCCGAGTTGGTCATGATCCATGTGCATCGCAACGCGGGGTGACGTAGCAGAAAATGAACTGGCTCGGCACAGTATCTTTCGCTCTCTCTCGCTCTCTTTCTTTCTTTCATTATTCTCTGTCTCTTTCTCTCTCTCTCTTCCTCTCTTCTTTTTGTTCGCTCTCTCTCTCTCTCTCTCTCTCTCTGTGCCTCTCGCTCGCTCTCTCTGTCTCTCTCATCGCTTGAGAAGTTGTTGATTCGTGTTTAACACATCTGAGGACAGCAAGAGCTACAAATTTGCACGTGTGAAGGACATCGCTCAGTTCTGGGCATGTTCGGGAAATAGTGGGTCTAGCTCTGAAACAGAAAAGTAGGCAGGGAGCATATCTCAGTGCACATTGCCACAGCAAGCCATAATTTGCACAGACCGGGCACGTCGTGCCTCGGATAATTTTCAGTTGATTGCTAGACAAACAGCGCTTTCTAAAGAGATTAGGCAATTCCATCACCCTTTGTTATGCCATAAATGACCTGCTGATCCCTTGAAGCTGTTTCTGTTTTGTTTCGCTTTGCCAATGCCTCCATGCGCTTTCTCGACAAGATCTCGACTCTTTTCGGCTTAATATTTATGCTGTCCGGCACTAACAAGATAGACCTTTCGTACCCATTCCAGCAGCGTGATGCACCTTTACTTTCTGATCGGCTTTAAGTTTTGAGATGTGACGTTGGAAGCCGTGATTGTCACGTTTGGAACCCAACCTATCCGTGCAGGTATGCTGCAGTGCAGTGCGTGTGATCCGGAATCACCCACCTCAGAACAGCACGGGTTTACGTAGCTTTGAAAATGCAACTTCTAGCAATAGTTGCAGTGTCAATAGTGGCATATTTGGACAGCAGGCACTGATGCATTTTGGCACGGAGGGAGGATAGGTGAACACCTACATGCTGGGCCTCACACTGCCACTTTGCCGAAATGTGGACGAAGACCTTTGAGTCCTTGAATATCAGCTTGGACATTCAGTGAAGGCGCCAATTGCCTGAGGCCATGAACAGCATTCCTGCGCTTCTGAACCATCTAGATGCCAATCGAGAGGCAGGATCGGTCTCATGCGCGCTGCACATGCTTGATGTGGACTTCCTGTTGCAGTCTCCGACCTTGAGCTTGGCGTATGCCTCCATCTCCGATGAGGGAATCGTGGAGGCCAAGCAAAGGACCTTTGAAAAGTCTGCAAACTGGCACCAAGGGCTTTTCTTGAAAAAAACGGACAGGTGTCCAAGTTCCTCCGCGACAACCCATTCGTGAAGTTCCATGACCGAATCAGGATAGAGGCTATTTTCCCTTGCTTTGAGAGCACTTATTACGAACGGCAGCACGTCGTTCGAACCGCGGCCAAACGTGACAACGTGTGCGTGTTATCAATCCAAGGTACTTGGATCTTCGGGGCAACAATGTCCAGGCGTTGTGCTACTGGTTGACAGGTTTACAAGATGCTCAAGGGTATGAAGCGCCAGCATGGTCGATAGCAAAGTGTGTAGCTGGCGTGGTCTCCTGGAAATATCATGCGTTGAGGGATCTAATAGGAATGTTGGATAAGCTGAACTGCAGAGTCTCGAAGCAGACAGGCCAAAGGAGCTATGGCACTTGCCAATGGCATCAAGATCAATCGATCTCTCCGAAGTCTCAATCTGAAATGGCTTCAACCTCAGCATGTTTCAGCATGCTGTACAGGGTATGTGGCACAGGGTATTTCAAGTTTTTTTTGAGCTGCAGGAACGCAATTGGCAAAGATCCTAGCGGTGTCCATGCCTTGTGCGAAGTTTTGAGGCATGGCAAGCGGCAAGGGCTGCAGCTGCATTCCAAGCAATGCCGCGTTTGCCCTTGCAGGTCTAACCTCACAATTGGCCATGTAGACTTGCGGAACAATCGCGTAAACAACGTGGGCGCCAAATATATTGGCGAGATGCTTGCAGCTAACACGACGGCCGCCTACATGCAGTTGAATGAATGTGTATGTGTGATGAGCTGTTCATGTATTTGTTCTTTTTTTTGCCATCATGTCAGTGTGACACGTGCTTGCAGATGCCAGATGTATTTCGAAACTGAGATTACGCACCTGGATCTCTCGTGGAATGATTTGGGAGCTGACGGTGGATTAGCCTTGCTGGAAGGACATCAGCTTTGAGTTGCCCCGTTGCCGTCCATGCTGCTTGTTATAGGCCTCAAGCACAACAGCACAGTCCTTGACTGCCAGCTGAGCGGTTCTAAGGAGCGGCTGGGTGCAATGGTGCAACGCTTGCTTGGATTCGTTGGTCGGCTGCCAGCCAGGTGGGTGAAGAGACTATGCATGAAGTTGCGTTCCTTCTCCGAAGGAATAAAGCTTCTGCGGCGTGCGACACGCTCTATGGGTCAGTGAGCTGGGGCTTCTGCTTGTTGGCTACAGGTACAAAGCAAGTCCCAACTCTACCGGGGCACAAATGGCGCTGCTCTAAGGGAAGAGTTGACTGGTTCAATTTTGTTGTTTGAGGCCGCTGCAGATCCCAAGACTGCAACCCTGGGAAGCTGAGCGGCATTGTTTCCAAATCGAAATGGACACATCGCCTCCCAAAATCGCCTCCCAAACTGAGGAAAAGCCACGACAACAGCTCCAGTGTCTAGAGACGCATCTGCATTTGTCACGTGCAAGTTGGTGTCCATTGTGTCATTCTTTGTCGGCAATCGGCTTTGTGTATAAATTGCAAGGAAGCCGAGCAGAAACAGCAGAGCAGGAGGCGGAGATTTGGATTTTACGCACAGCGTTGATTTACGCGGTGATACGTGTGCAGGTGCCGCCTGAAGATCTGCAGCCTGTGAAAAAGGCCTGGCCAACCTGGCGCTCAAGGTGCAATGCAAGGCTAGTTGCATTGGGCCTCGCCAGGGCCCGCAGGCCAAAGCTAACTGGACATCCAAGGCACGCACTTGGAGTTTCTCAGACGACTTGGCGTGATGTGGCGCGCAGGACAGTAGCACGCTTATGCTGCGTCTGATGATGAAGGAGAGGGAACAGGCAGATTACAACGGCTTAGCATTTTATGGCTAGGGAGGACTAATGGCAGCTGGAAGGATCACTTCGAGAATTTGATCATACTTCCGTGTGGCCAGGTCTTGCCCGAAGACAAAGTTTTCTACCAGCAGATCGCCGAGCACATCGAACCTTGCCTGAGCGTGTCATACCTTGCTTGTGATGCTTGGCCTCAGTCGATGAGGACAAGTTGCTGCTGGAGACATCAAAGCACAAACAGGGAAGAGCGACTTAGATGCAGAAGTGAGCTAAAGTGTCCAATGCTTTGCTTTCCACTTGGTTTCCTTGCTGAGGTTGACGGTGAGGAAAGAGAGAAGCTGTCCACAACTGGATTTTTGGAGAGGGAGCAGAGGCACGCATATAGTATATATATATATATACCTGCACATGCCAGTGTGTGCTTCACATTTTGTTCTAGGTATATCAAAGAAATCCGGCAAGCAGAAGAAGCGCTGCAGAGAGTGATCAGTGAGAAGGCTTGGGAGCAGGGCTGGTCTGGGCAAATCTTTGCTGTACTTTAGCTGGAGGAATTCTCGCAAAAAGAGCTTGCAGCAAAGACCGTGTCGCTGAACCAATTGAACGAGCAGAATACTTCAGCTGTGCGCGAGTCGGTTGTGTCGCAGGCGCAGATTGCTTGTAATTTAGCTGTTTTTTTTCAAGAAGCCTGAGTGCTCCAGCTAGATCAAACATTCCCACACTATTGAGGAAAAGGCAGCAGCTGAAGAGCAGCAGCTGAGAAAGGCCCTGTGTGTGTCATGGTTCCTGTGAGACGTAGATATGCAGGAGCTCAGGGAGCTCCAGGTGGAGAAGAAAGACCTCCAGGATTGCTTTGCTTGAAATGCCTTCCGAGGTCAGTGTAGTGCAAAGATTTGCAAACGCCAAGGACAAGCTCGCTTTGAACTTGAAGGACTTGGAGCTATTGGAGCAGGACCTTGCCTTTACCGGAATTGAGTGCTTTGCATACCATCCGCGCAACGCTTTGCATCAGGAGAACGAACGACTTCGGCAACATGTAAAGTCATTTCAGAGAGACGTTAACGAAATTCTGGCATGAAGCTGACCACAATATGTGGCCGGATGTCATGGCTCTGTGCTTGGTTGAATTCGCCCACAAGCGCAAGCTCGAACGAGCCGCCAAGGCAGCAACACGCTGGCTGGAGTTTTATGGGTCATGTGTGTATATATGTTTGCAATGTTACTCCTAGCAACTTCAGTGCCTGCCCTATAGGTTCAGCTGTTCACCAAAGGTGACTGGAGCTATTGATGGCTTCTGACAGGCTTTACATTGAAAAAGGCTGCTGTTCAAAGCGTTTGCAAAATGCGAATCGTGGGCTGTCGTCCTTTTCTCTTTTGCATGTGCTTTCCTTTGTTTTTTCCATTCGCGAGGCTTTTGTGTTTCTTTCCTCGTTCTTCCCCTGTTTGCTTGCATTGCTTGAACTTGTGTTTCCTTCGTTTCTTGGATTGCCTATTGCTTGGTTTACTGGTTTTTCCTTCGCTAGTTTTGCCTTCAGTTTTACAAACCTGTTTGTTTCCCTGGACATGTCCCTTTCCGTTCTTTTGCGTTTGTTTCCTTCCCTTTCCGTCCCTTTCCTTTCCTGTCCTTTCCTTGCTATCTTGTGCTTTTCCATTTTCCATTTGGACAAATGCCAGAGATGCTGGAGTTCAGGGCCCGCTGGCTACAAAGAACAGAAAGCATGAACACGACCACCCTTCATGCATGGAGAGCCGACCATTCGGATCACCCTCAAGCTTTGCTCTGGACTCTAGAGCGTTGCCTTGTAATGTCGCGCCTACTGTTCCCTTTTTGTCTTCCTGCCCTTCATCTCTTCTTATCCTCTCTGCGTTTTGCCTTGGCCCTGTCCGATCATTTCCTTTCCTTGTTTGACTTGACCTCAAAACTGATTGCGGAAACATCGCCTCGCAGTTGCCTCGAGTTTCCCACCAAAGCCACCCAATTTGATCATGTCCTCTTGGCGTCCAGCACAAAATTCATTGCTGGCATTGCTCTTTCCAGGCCACTCGTGTAGGTATGAGAAGCAGGCTTCTGAGGTCGATGGACTTCCTGTCTGGTTAAGTTTTAGCACACCTGGTTGCAGTTGCATTGACGTTGCTGAGTGGCTGTCTTACTTAAACTTGCCAAGGGCTACATGCTAAAGAACCATCACTTTGGCAGACTTGCTGAATCGCGCTTTCCAGGAAGCATCAATTTCAAAAGAAACTTCACGCCTTTGAGCGCGCCGTGTGGTCTTTGCAGTTTGCAGCTGACACTAGCGGCGTGTTGCGTCGACGGAGTGGGTCAACGGGTTTCCCTTTGATAAGGGGACCCAACCCTAGCGCCGGTCAGTCATGTGTCATTGTCCACGTTGGAAGCCAGCCGGCCATGGCGGCAAGCAAAGAGAACCGCCGGACGTAATTAGTTAATTCGGCTGCGGACGTTGCCAGACAAAGACGGAATTAGGCTTCGGCGCCACCCACTTGGAAGTTGGCAAGGTTCGTTTTGCGCCCGAGGCGCAGCGCAAAACACGAGCAGCTCCAAGTTAGGCAGCTGCACTGTTCGAGGCGCCCGGCGGTTGAGGGATAGGCATCAAACAAAACTTATTAGGCATCAACAAAAAACTTATGCTCATTCCTATGGGGGGAAGGAAGAAGGAAGGAAGGAAGGAAGGAAGGAAGGAAGGAAGGAAGGAAGGAAGGAAGGAAGGAAGGAAGGAAGGAAGGAAGGAAGGAAGGAAGGAAGGAAGGAAGGAAGGAAGGAAGGAAGGAAGGAAGGAAGGAAGGAGGAAGGAACCAAGGAAGGAAGGAAGGAAGGAAGGAAGGAAGGAAGGAAGGAAGGAAGGAAGGAAGGAAGGAAGGAAGGACCCCCCCCCACCAAACCACCCCGCTGATTTGTACAAGGTTGAGAGTAATTAACGCACCCTTTGCTGAATCATCACTTCTTCGATCATCATCACCCTTTGTTGAATCATCACTTCTTCGAGCATCATGGGGGGGGGCTGCCGCCCCCCCAACCCCCCCGCTGATGTTCAGAATGTTTACAGAGATTACCGCACCCTTTGCTGAATCATCACTTCTTCCATCATCACCACCCTTTGTTGAATCATCACTTCTTCGAACATCATGGGGGGGGCTGCCCCCTGGTGCCTTCAGAACAACGCACCCTTATTCAGATCATCAACCTCGAACATCTTAACTGCGCCCCAGCTGACCAGTTCCATCACTTCCTCGATCATCCACTCACTCTCTCTCTCTCTCTCTCTCTCTCTCTCTTTCTTTCTTTCTTTCTTTCTTTCTTTCTTTCTTTCTTTCTTTCTTTCTTTCTTTCTTTCTTTCTTTCTTTCTCGCTCTCTCTCTCTCTCTTTCTCTCTGTTTTCTCCCTTTTTCTTCATGTTTATATCTCTGTATATTTTTCTTCACTGCTTGCGAAAATGCTGCGCCTGCGTCAAACTCTGCACCGTACCTTGCGAAAGTGCTGCGCCTGCCGCGAAATTGGTACCTCTTGCGAAAGTGCTGCGCCTGCCGCGAAATCTGGACCGCACCTTGCGAAAGTCTGCCGCCTGCCGCGAACCTGTACCTGACCTTGCTAAAGTGCTGCGCCTGCTGCGAAATCTGTACCTGACCTTCCTCACCCCGCTGATTTGTAGAAGGTTGACAGTGATTAACGCACCCTTTGCTGAATCATCACTTCTTCGATCATCATCACACTTTGTTGAATCATGGGGGGGCTGCCGCCCCCCCCCCAACCCCCCCGCTGATGTTCAGAATGTTTACAAGATTTACCGCACCCTTTGCTGAATCATCACTTCTTTGATCATCACCACCCGTTGTTGAATCCCTTCTTCGAAACATCATCGGGGGCTTTGCCCCCCATCATGGGGGGGGGGGGGGGGGGGCCCCCCCCCCCCAACCCCGCCGCTGATTTTCAGAATGTGTACAAAGCTTAACGCACCCTTTGCTGAATCATCACTTCATCGATCATCACTCTCGTTCTTTCTTTCTTTCTTTCTTTCTTTGTTTTTTTTTCTTTCTTTCTTTCTTTCTTTCTTTCTTTCTTTCTCGCTCTCTCTCTCTCTCTCTCTCTCTCTCTGTTTTCTTCCTTTTTTCTTCATGTTTTTATCTCTTATATTTTTCTTCACTGCTTGCGAAAATGCTGCGCCTGCGTCAAACTCTGCAACGTACCTTGCGAAAGTGCTGCGCCTGCCGCGAAATTGGTACCTCTTGCGAAAGTGCTAGACCGCACCTTGCGAAAGTCCTGCGCCTGCCTAAAGTGCTGCGCCTGCTGCGCAATCTGTACCTGACCTTCCGAAAGTATTGCGCCTGCCACGAAATCTGTACCTGACCTTGCGAAAGTGCTGCGCCTGCCGCGAAATCTGTACCGCACCTTGCGAAAGTGCTGCGCCTGCCGCGAAATCTGTACCTGACCTGCGAAAGCATTGCGCCTACCTTCCGAAAGTATGGCGCCTGCCACGAAATCTGTACCTGACCTTGCGAAAGTGCGTCGCTTGCCACGAAATGAATAAGTTTTTTTGATCCCTAAAAACCTTTTTTTTATCCTCTGATTTTCAATTTTGAATAGGAAATCAATGAGAAGAAGTTTTTTGATCCCTAATAAGTTTTTTTTGTCTTCAGAAATAAGTTTTTTTTGATGCCTAATTTTTTTTTGATCCCTCACCCCGGCGGGGTGCCGATGGCCGCAGAAACCGTGCTTAGGGGCTCGCTTCTCCCCCGCCAGGCTGGGCAGCTCTCCCCTGCAGTGAACATGGGCCAGTTTGGTGCTGCAGGTGTTGGTCAGGGTTCTGTTTGGTACGAGCAAGCTGCTGTGGTGGTTGCTGCCGGCGATACCTGATCAGGGGGCTGTTTAGGCGCTGTGGTTGTTGTTGGCGGTCAAGAAGATCTCGATGATTTTTGTGGGTTGGTCAAGGGTGCTGGTCACGGTGTGGTAAGGGTGGCGCTTGGTTCTCGTCGTCCCGTGAGCTTGTTTGAGAATCCTTAGTTCTTGAAGACCTAGAATGCAATGGGCGGCGTTCTTCGCATGTGTAGGCGCTGATTTGCCGACACGAAGCCACGCATTCCCGGAGCGAGTGTGTCAACATTATTGTGGGCAGCTCGGGCTTGAACCCATGAGCTGTCAACTGCGATCTTTAGTCCACTCCCGGGGCGGTCGTGTGAGCCAGCCACTGCTGCGGCACGACGCGGCCCTCAGGGCCTCGTGGGAGACGCGCGCCCACGCGTGCTCAAGCACGACCACCCGCTTCGCGAGGAGACCTGCACGCGTGCATGCAGCGTGATGGTCCCCGAAAGCGTCGACGGCCACGCCAAAGCCATGGCCAGTGCCGTCGCCACACAGCCGGTACGTCAGCGGGAGCTGCCCGCAACCGGCGCCGTAGTGCCCTCGGGGGTCAGGACTGCGCCGGGGTCGGTCGGCATGGCGGAAAGCTAGGCGCCTGCTTGCGGGCCGGACTGCGAGCGTAAGCAGATCAATGTCTGGGGCGCGCAGGAGCGGCAAAACGTCGCGCTCTCGGTAAACAGAATGAAGGTAGAAAGCTGCGTGACGCTGCCAGCCCTGGCGCCTCTCCCCCGGCTCGGCCTCCTCAGAAAGCTTGGGTGGCTGGCTGCCTGCCAGCAAGTCTGCCCATCCAGGGCACGGCCGCCGCTTCAGCCAGGCATTGACTGACTTGCCCCCTTGCCTCGTCCAGCGCGCGGACGCACTGTGGGCAAAGGATAACACGCGGCCAATACGCAGCCGGGCTAAGCTGCGTGGAAGGCCCGAGGCCCAGCCCTCCCTCGCGCACCGGCAGTGACGACAAGGCGCTCGCACAATCCCACCCTGCGCCCTCGGCGCGCGGACTCCCGAGCAAGGAGCGGAGCGCAGCCCAGACAGCCTCGCCGCGCGCCCTGGCATAAGAAACTGCAACGGATGGTGGCACCGTGCGCAGCACGTGGCGCGAGCGGGGGGCTGCGCGTTGAGAGAGCAGGAGCACGCGCATTGCAAATCGAGCAGCGCCGGCAGCTGTTGGAGCACGTCCTCTCATGCCGGGCGCGCTCGCCATGAGTGGCAACGAATCGGCCGATCCGAAAGCGCTGCCGAGCACAACGAAGCCGCGCTCAGCAGATTGCAGGTTCCAGTGCCGCTGAATCAGCGCACCCTGGTCTTGGAGGTGTTGATCTCGACCCCGGCGCTGCGTAGCGACGCTCTCCAGCGCAGCTCGGGCTCGAGGCGTGCGCGTCTTCACGTAGCAAGCCCGTCGCCCTCGGCCAACTCCGCTTTTGCAAGCTCGTAGCGCGTCATGC